CAGACGACCCTGCAGACGCCTCCCTCACGCAGCTGCCAGGTGGTGACCACAGCTGACCGGGGCCTCTCAGCTGCCCGGCTAGTCGCGAAGCCCCTTCCTCTCCACGGCTGGCTACTGGAGGCCTCCACCTTCAGGGGCCGTGGCGGGGGAGGTATAGGCCGTTTGGAGCCTCAGTGACTCTGGTTTTCCTGGTTTGTTGGATAAATTCCGTTGTTGTTGTTCTCTGGCCTGAGCAGTCTCGCAATTGTGCGTGTGGGTGAAACGCCCAGACAGTGACCAGTAAGCTAGCTAGTTCAGTGCCCCTTGCTGCCCGGTCCACAAGGAGCAAGTGTCTGCCGCTCAGAGGGGCCAAGACAGCGGCTTTCCTGGTGCTGCTGCCATGGCGGTGAGTGCCACGGCAGCACCGTCTGTGCCCTGCGCGATCTCCGGGCCCCCGGCGTGTGAGCTGTGAGCGTGCCCTCCCCCCCACTTCTCCTGCACCCTCGTGTCTTTCTCCCCCTTTTAGCCAGGTCCCTTGGAAGAACGAATCACGCGTCCGCTCCGAGCCCCCGCACTGCCGCCCACGCCAGTCTGGCTCCCGCCCACCGGCTCCAGCCTCCCGCCAAGTGGCGACGTCACCATCCCCAAGCGCAGATAGCTGATCTTCACGGACTTTCAGTTGCGCTTGGCGCGTCGATCGCGCTCCACCCAGCCCTTCTCCCTTCTGCCCGGACACAACATTCTCCCCACTTTTCTTTGAGCTCTTAGCCACCCATCTGAGAATCCCGTGGGGACCCCCGTGCTCCCCCTCATTCCTCAGGGTTCGCTTCTCGATGGCCAGTGGTAGCCACCTGCCGGGCCCACGGCCCGCTGACGTGCTGGGCTACACGTCTCCCCCTGCCTGTCAGCGATGAGCCACTATGGCTGAGCACTGCCCTGGCCATGCCACTGGCCGGCCAGCACTTCACTTCCGCCCTGCCCCGCGTTTCTCCTGCCCCGCCGCCGTCACCCGGCCAGCAACGTGGGCGCTCCCTGGTGGGACCTACACGGAGCGGGTCCCAGATGCCCGTGGGTGCAGTGTGGACTCCGCCAGGTCAGGGAAGGCGAAGGCCAGCTCCTTCCCAGCCAGTGACTCATCTGAAAGGATGCACCTGACTGTTCTGTTTCTGTTTTGAGATGGCTTGTGTCTAGCTTCTAGAAGCCTTGGTGCTGGACATTCATGGAGATCGCTCGTAGAGGCCACGGTCGGGGGTTCCCTAGCTTGGCGGGGTCCCCTAGCTTGCTGGCCATCCTGAACATCACTACGTCAGGGGCGAACTTGCTGCCGCCCCCTTCCTCTCCTCACTGAGAGGCTCTGCGGCCGCCCAGAGACCCAGGAGTCTCATGTCCAGCTCTCATCCACCCACCCTCGCCTACCTCCCTCCAGCTGCCCCTCCCTGCTAGTCCAGATCCCTCTTGGCTCGCCTGGGTGAGTCCAGCCTGGTCACTGCATGCCCAGGCGGTTGTGTCCTGCAGGGCTCTTCGGGCCCTTCACAGACCTGTCAGCTTCCCTGCCCCTCAGACTGCAGGCCCGCAGCCCAGCGAAGGAGCTACCCGCGCTTCCCATGGCCCTACCCACCTGCCCAACGCCCGCCTGCCCACCGCCTCTGTTCAGCACCTGCTCCTCACTCTCAGCAACTGCCGGGACACCCTGCCCGGCTTGCTCCTCTGTGGGGCTTGCAGACTTCGGCATCCCCGGTTCCCTTGGTCCTGCGTGCCCTACGGGCCTCCTCCTGAGTGGGTCTCCCTTGGCCCGCCCCTACCTCCGGCATGTCCCCAGGGTTCTGGGTTTGGTCCCCTTCACTGACGGTGGCCCAGGCCCTGGGTTGGGTCTGCCCGGCCTCAGCCTCTGCTGCCTCCACGCCGCTCGTAGGTGACTCCGCCTCAGTGGGGGCCAGCCTCAAGGGGTGAGCAATCTCTGGGAAACAGGCAGCTGGCCTGGGCACATTTTAGCCGCACGGACGAACGAGCCCAGCAGCACTGTGTCCACAGTGGTGGGCAGCGGGGGCGAGCGGGATGACGGCTGGGTACAGGCAGCTGGCTGGGGAGGGGCAGTGTGAGTGGAGTCTGTTCCCCTTTCTCTCAGCTGTCTGGAGGCTTCTGTGTCCACTGGGACAGCTCCTAAGGCTGCTGTCCTGATGGCTTCCCGACTCGCCTGGCGTAAAACCAAGGGCCGAGGTGACCCAGGGCGCCCCCTCACCACCCCATCTCCCGCTCACCCACCATCTATGTCACTGCCTCCCTCCTGCTTCTGCGGCCACAGCCTCTCGGTCCTTGCCCTGGGGCACCCGGGCGCCTGCCGGGCCCCCACCTCACGGTCTTCGCACTTGCTGCTCCGTCAGAAGCGCCCTCTCCCCAGGTCACACTGGCCCCTTTCTTCACACAGCGCCCACACTCGCCCTCCCCTGGGTCTGCACTGGTGGGTCTCTTCTCTCCTCCTTCGGGACACCACCGTGGGGTCGGGAGTGCTTCACTCGCTGTCAGTGTCCAGCGCCATCCCGCAGCGCCTGCCGCACAGGGAAGGCAATGAGTGAATAGTGGACAGTAGGCATTGTCAATTCAGGTCTTTGTCTCTTGAGTTGAGAGGACAGGGCAGCGTCACGGGTTGGAATACGCTGGAGTTCGAGGCGCGTCTTCTGCTGAGAATGCCAGGGGCCCTTTCTTGGCAATAACCTGGGCAGCGTCTCGCCGGTCACAGATAGGTCAGCATCCCACAAGCAAGGCCCAGATTTGAACTTGGTGGTGAGGGACTAGAGGAGCTGGCAGCCACTTGTCTTGTTTCCTCACTTGCCAGCCACTGAGGCCTCTCCCTTGTAAACTATGTAAATCATACTCTCCAGGCTCCCTGGGGCTGAATTTGAATTCAGTGGTGTGAGATAGATAAGGAGCCACCACGGGAAAGAAAATCGTCTGTAGAGGAGCCTCAGGCAATTTATTCTCACCTACGCAGCAGTTGTCCAGTCTGCTTCTGAGGAATGTGCCCTGCGCCCAGAAGTCACATCCCTCCCTCGTGGCCGCCAGGTCTCTGTATGGATGCTGAGGAGGCTTTGTAACAGATGTGCTCTTGTCTCGGTTCTGTGACATGTCTTTTTTAGGATTTTATCCTATCTGCTTATGGCTCAATACTTTTCACATAGGAAACATGAAGGAAATAATAATTTTAGAAATATTCTTAATAAGAAAGACTAGCAGGTAGTAAAGACTTGCAACGTGCCAGGTGTTTCTCTTAACAGTGCTGTGTCATGAGCTCATCTCACCCTCATAACAACTGTCACCTGTTGTACAGGTGAGGAAACCAGCAGCCAGTGAGTGATCTTTCATATCCCAGTTTCCAGAACTCAGACCTCAGCCTTAGCCTTGAGCGTTTACTTTGACAACCAAGAGAGAGGATGTATGTGAAATACCATTTTCTAAAGTAGCCAACATTCACAGTGCCATGTCCAGGCATCATGACAAAGGTTCATCGGATATTTTTTCCCCCTTGTTTAATTATCACAACAATTCTAGGAGCAGACACAGAAGCCGAGGTTTGGGGAGGGTAACTGGCTTTGCCAAGAGGCCAGTTGCTCTAGTCATTACGCACTAAAAGACTGTCTTCCCAAATAGCTGCATCCTCCTCACCATCATTACCGCCACCACGAGAGTAAGGAGGTACCAGACATTAGGGAAATGCAAACAAACTCTATAAGGAAATGACGCTTCATAGCTCACTAGGATGGCACTAAACCTAAAGACAGACAATCACAGGTGCTGACGAGGATATGGAGACATCGGAACCCTCCGATGTTGCTGGTTAAAATACGAAATAGTGCAGCCGCTTTGGAAAAGTTAGGGAGTTCCTCATAAGATTGTACATAGAATTACCAAATGATCCACCAATTCCACTCTAACTAAAAACAAGCTTATGTAAAAATGTGTACACAGATGTCCACAGCAGCATTATTCACGATGGCTGAAAAGTAGAAATAATCCACACAGTGGAATATTACTTGGCCATAAAAAGGAACAAAGTAGTGGCCTTCCCTGGGGGCACAGCGGGGTAAAGTGCAGCACTAAGGAGCTAAAGCCGCTTCAGCATGAGTTTGATCCCCGCCCTGAAGGTGACCACAGGGTGCGGCAGACCTCTCCTGACCGCCCGCTGCCCCCCCTCAGCGGTGTACTTCGTCAATCTGCTGGTTGTACTCTCCACTCTGTCTCGGGTGAAGCCTCTCACCGCCCCCACTCCTCTGGCCTGTACCCCAGTTCTGTGTGCACAAATAACTAAATCTTAAAAAAAGGAAAAACAGGAACAAAGTGGAGAAACATGCCCTAACAGAGATGAACCCTGAAAACATCACACTGAGTGGGAGAAGTCAGGTTGTGGGAGTCCATTCATAGGAAACATCCAGCAATAGGCAACGCCACAGAGACAAGGAGTGGATCAGAAGGACCCTGGAGCTTCAGGGGAGCAGGGGACTGGGGCGATGGCAAGGATATGGGGCTGCTTTTGGAAGTAATGAATGTGTTCCAGATGGGGATGGTGATCCCAGCTCTGAATACCTGAAATACCACGGTTTATAAACTCGAAAGGGCCGAGTTGCATAGTTTGCAGATGATAGCTCATTAAGCTGTTAAGAGGAGAGGGAGAGAGAGCAAGTGGGGAAGACACTGAAGAGGAGCTAAGTGCTGTCTCCTCCCTTGCCCTAAGGTTAGTGACTCAGGAGGAGGCCTGGCTCTGGCGGGGGTGGGGGGGCCCAGATCCCCACCTCTGCCCGGGTGGGGTCCCCACTACCCCCCCAGGCATGCCCTCCTGGCTGCCCGGGGGCCACCTCGCTTCCCACTCAGCAGGCTGCCTGCTTCCTGCCTTTTCCGAGGCCTGCCCGCCCACTCGACCTGGCGAGCAGTCCAGCCACGTGGACTCCAGGATGGTGCCAGCCGCTGCGCCCCAGGGTGTCTGTGCGCAACACTGCCGAGACCTGGGGTCATCCCGACACCCCGCTTACCTCACGTAGGAGAAGACAAGCATGTGGAGGAACCACTTGACGGTGCCGTAGTTCATGCTCTGGATTCGGATGACTTTGTCTGTTTCATACTGGAAAACATCACTGCAGCCGCAGGCTGCCATGGTCACAGCTCCCTCGTGGGGGCCGGGGCAGACCCCCAGCCTGCCAGACGGACTGCCCGTAATAGGAGAAGGAACCCCTATTCCAAGCAGAGCCTTCCGTTGGGCTCCTCCCTTGACCCCTTGACAGCGGTGGGCGGGCCCTGGCCGCTGGCCCAGCTGTGCCTGGGCACAAACAAGAGCTTACAGGCTGGGCAGAGAACGATGCGGGCACAAAGGGTGTGCAGAGGAAGGGCATTGTTAGAATTCTCCCTTCCCCTTGCCTCGCTTTGTTTTGTGTTTTTTGGGTTTTTTTTTTTTGACTCGTTTCAGTTAGGCGCAAGGGGCGGCCTTCAAATGTTAGGAGAGCCTGCTTCATTGTGCTTCAGAAAAGGGCCTAGATCTTTCCATGGCCTCCAGCTGCGCAGAGACTGATTCATCTCTGCAAACCTTACTCAGCCCCAGAGCACGGGGCGCGGGGTGAATGAAGGTCCCAGCTTGCTCCCGCGCTCTGGCCTGAGTGGGGGGAGGAGTGTGAGTGGCCTGAGTGGGGGGAGGAGTGTGAGTGGCTGGGGTGGTGCAGGGTGAGGTGCTGGGTGTTTCTTGCCGGACCCCCTAGATCCGCTGTCTGCCTCGCTCCAGCCCCGAGAGGCCCCACGAAGTTGCCTGCTGACCAAACTCAGCTTGGGACCCCTCCGGTGTGGGAGGGGCCAGGGCGCCGCCTGGCCAAGGGTGGACATTCCGGGGTGGTGGCCTTTGGAGGAAACGTGATGACGCCAGGTTTGCATCGGCACAAAGCAGAGCAAGTATGTGTGACACCGTCACACAGTTCTCGCCAGAAGAGAAAGTGGGTGCCGCTATGGTGGCGCAGTGGGTGACAGCGCCGCAGTGTGGAGCTGCCCCAGCCCCTGCAGCACGAGTCCGTCCCCGCCCGGGGAGGGACCACAGGGTCCAGCAGACCCGCTGCCCCTCAGCAGTGGGTTTCAGTCTGTCTGCCTGCTCTGCTCCCACTCTGTCTCTGGGAAATCCAGTCCCCCTCCAGCCCCCGCGCCCGGTACCTCTGGCCTACACCCCAGCTCTGTATGCATAAATAAATAAATCTTTAAAAAAAAAAAGCTAAGGTAGATGTCCATTGAGGTGTCCAGGAACCCTTCATCTGAAGCTCTGCTCTGTTTTTTTTTTTTTTTTTTTTAAAGATTTGTTTGTGGACACAGAACTGGGGTACAGGCCAGAGGTGCAGGGTGGTGAGAGGAGTCACCAGAGACAGAGCCGGGAGCAGCACAGGCAGAAGGACGAGGGGGCAGGAGGGGTCTGCCGTGCCCTGGGGTCCCTCCCTGGTGCTGAAGCGGCTGCGGCCAGCTCCTCAGTGCAGTGCCTCAACCCCTGCACCCCAGGGAGGGCCCTGAAGCTCCGCTCGTAAGGGGCGAATCGAGCAGGTTTGCTGTCTCCGCTGACTTGCAATTCCAAGTTTCCATGTTTCCGGAAGCTGAGATTTCAGTGAGAGAGGAAGCTGCCGTCTGAGGGAGGGCGGGGCACCACTTAACAGCTAGAGAAAGGCTGAGGGGCTCTGTGCTGACTTCTCTACTTCCCTGCGGGCCAGATGGCCAGGCAGACTTTCTTCTCTGGCCTGGCGGCTCGTTTGGTTGGTGTGCGCTTACGCAACAGCGCCCTTTCCCGGGCTGAGCTGTCTGTGCTTCCTGCCCACGAGCTGCGTGGACCTTCCTCAACAGCTGCACCTGGCTCAGTTGAGAGCAGGCGGCACTGGGCTTGCAGCTTGCAGGTCTGTTCCTGGCCCGCTCCTGCAGCTGTGCAAGGCTGCTGGAGGCCAGCCCTCCTTGCCCGAAGGCTTAGGGCTGGCCACCCTGGCCAGCCTGGCTCCTTCCGCTGGCCTGTTAAGGGCTCCCCCGCTGGCTGCCTCACTGGAGCGCTGTCTCCTGCCGCCGCACTCGGTGGGCAGTTGTCTTCATCTGGGAAGGGGCTAGAAGATGAGCTCCGAGGGTGCAGTGCCTGGCGTCCGACCCCGGGGTCGTGAGCAGTTACGGGTTCCAGGTCTTCGGGCCCCTTGGCCGGACTGGTGCGTCTGCGGGTGTGGAGGAGGGAAGCCGGGGCTGGTGCTGGAGAGGCCCAGGCTAGCTACCTTTCGGCGGTGGGCAGCGCTGTGCGTGCTGGTCCTCCGTGCATCCCCCGCCACGAGCGGATACCGCTGTGTCCATCGACAGTGAGTGGACACACAGCAAGTGGCCCTTCCATGCATGGAGTATTAGTCGGTCGTGAAGGGGGCAAAGCACCGACGCCTGCTGCCACGTGGGTCAGCTGCCACGTGGGTCAGCCTTGAAGGTTTGCTGTGGGCGGATGCAGCCGCACAGGCGGGCCGAGCCGGAGGCGCATGACAAGGCAGGCGCGTGATGAGGCGTGTCTGAGGCCACCTGGGGTGTGGGAGGGGAGCAGTGGCCTGCTGCGGTGCTTCCCCTCCTGTTCTGAGGTGGCTCTCGAGCCCTCCCCGCCCTCCTTCCCAGCACCCCGTTCAGAACTCTTGGAAGCCGGCAGACTCGACCCTTCGGATGTCTCAGTTGGGAGAAGCTGCCCTGCTTGACCCTCAGACCGCCTTTGGTTCCACGAGGGGCGCTGACCCGCAGTGGCCTGGGCCGGAGCTGGCGATCTGAAGTCACAGCCTTTACAGTGACATGACATTTAAGTACTGCTCTTAGTCGTCCTTGACGTGTTCCAAGGGCCCAGGACGGGGCTGGTGGCTACTGGGGCGGGGTAGGGGTGGGGCCTCCTCCCTGCAGGTGGAGGCAGGGCGAGCAGGGAGGGTCCCCCATGCGGCTGTCTTCTGGGAGAAGGAGGAGGCAGGCGCAGGGCAACGAGCCTGGGAGCACGTCAGCGCAGGTGCCGTGGTGAGCGTGGGAGGAGCGAGCAGACAGGAGGCCGGCTGCCCACGTCCACGCCCACCAGCCCGTGCCGAGACTTCCGCAGGGACCTGAGGCGCCCCGGGACCCAGAGTCCACCCAGGCCGGCCCAGGTCTCACTGTGGAGCCTGGACCCGCAGGCTACCTGGTGACGGGGCTGTGCACGGGCTCCTGAACCTGAGCAGATCTTGGCCCTCCGCCCAGTCATTCCCGAGCCGCCTGCCAAGCCTGAGCCTCTTACCAGCTATCTGCATCTCCCTGCAGGGCAAGACCTTTGTCACAGCCTGACCAGTTGTGAGCTGACTGCTGCGGTGCCCCGCAGTCCTGATGGCCTCACTGCACCCAGCCAGCACCGCGCTCTCCGTGGGGAGGCTGAAGTGGCTCTGGCCATTTCCTAGTAGGTCGCCTGGCCCCACCTGGCGTGACATCCTTCTGCAGCCCTGGGGAGCACGGGCTCCTGGCAGGTTGCAGGAAACATCTGGGTAGGGCCAGGGCGCATTCTTCACCCCACCAGTGCCCCCAGGCCACATGTAAACTGGAAGAGAAGGTCACTTAGTCGGACCGAGCTCGCACTGGTCATTGAGAGCTGCGTGACTCTGGGCCTTCTGTTGGGAGTAAGCACATGGCTGACTTGAGCTTCGCAGCAGAAACGCTGTTCTGTGATGCCGTTCAGGACGCCGGGCTCAGAGGGGCTGCACTCGAGGCTGGCAAGGTCTGGGGCTCTGAGGCCTCTGCCCCTGCTGCCACCGCACAAGCATGCGCCCTCATTGCTTTTGTCCCTTTTCTGGGGACCCCTCACCCTGAGCCCCCTCCATGCTGGCCCACCACTGAGAGCCGGACGTCAGCCACTGCCTGTCCCTCCTCCATGACGGCGTCCTCGTGGCCAGCGCGGGCGGCCGGTGGGCTGGGGTGGGTGGGAGGTCATCCCGGTGTCCACTGCGCCAGCGGCCTGCACCATGGGGCAGGGAGGCGGAGAAAGGCCTTGGAGGAGACAGGAGACAGGAGGGCTGGGAGTTCCGCGGCCCGGTGGAGGCCCTGGATGGCCAAGCCAGGTGGCAGGCGCCACCCAGAGGGGGCTCGGTCCAGGGAGGGAGGCCGGCCTGGTCAAGAGAAGCCGCTCAGGTGGGGCGGAGGGAGGACGCCGAGAGGGAGGCGCCCTCTGAGCGTGCAGTCGGCTTGGGGCAGACGTTGGCTGCGGGCACGCAGAGGAAGCCCCCGGGAGAGCAGCAGCCGGCGCGGGCCGCGCAGCCCAGGACGGGTAGCGCGGGAGGCCTGTTGGGGCGCAGGGCCCGGAGGAGAGGCACAGAGCTGCTGAGCCCAGCAGGCTGCCCTGGCTGTGCCGAGCGGAGAACCAGCTCAGTCCAGAGACGGGCGCTGCTGGACCGGGGCCACAGCCAACCCGGTGGCTGAAGCCTAGGAACTTCCCCCGGGTGGCGAGCCTCGGTGGGCTTGGCCTGCAGGGGGCCTGCGTCTGGAGACCCTGCACCAGCTCCTTCCGCCTCTCACTGCCCCGGAGGCGAAATGCCAGGGAGACCTGCTCCTGCCGGCTCTGACAGACCGGTCCAGGGGCTGGGTGAGGGCCCGTGGGCTCAGCTCGAAGGAAAAGGGGGAGAAGTGAGCCCAGACCGAGGGTCCTTGTCAGTGTGCTTGAGGCTAGGAGCCCCCGAGAGTCAGAGGCGCCCGGCTGGGCGCCGCTGGGGATCTGTGAGTTAACACGCCCGAGCCCCCGTCCTCCTGGGCGCAGCCTTGGCAAGGAGGACCAGGGGACACGAGGCATGAGAGGGCGGGAAGGACGGTGAGCCGAGCTGGGCTGGGGCTTCTTTGAAGTCAAGGTGACCTCCACAGAACGTAAAAGAAACTACTGAAAATGAACATTGCAGGCCTCCTGGGTGGCGCAGGGGTTCAGCCCCTGCGGCCCGAGTTCCAACCCCGGGACCCCCCGCCCCCGCTGCCCTCTCAGCAGTCTCAGGGGACCTGCCTGCTCTGCTCCCCACTCTGTCTCTGGGGTGCCCTCTCACACCCCACCTCTGGCCTGCGCCCCAGCTCTTGTGTGCATTAATAAATAAAAGCAAATCTTTTTAAAAAGTGATAATTCAGGGCACTTAGCAAAAGGTCAGAGGCTTCCTGAGACGTCCAGGGAGGAGATGGCTTCC